TATGCCATCGATGATCCAATCGATTAGCATTGTCTTTCAAGCTGTATAAATTGGTATCCATTTCTTGTGATCTCCTAATGAATGCAGGTAGAAAAGCTTGACTTGTCTCCTTTTTAGCAATGTTTACGTTCTTTGTGTAGACAAGCGGATCAGGAGAGCTAATTTGTCTGTCACATACATACACACTTTTTCAGCTTTTGAGAAGGAGGGGTAGCTTCTACAGATGAGGGATGTCAATATGTGCTCAAATCCTGAGGTTTCTGGCCCGCATTTGATGAGTATATAGTTCTGCAGGGTTGTGCTATGAACAGTTAGCCTCATCCTGTTCTCAGTCAGTGCTGTCACAAGTACTCCTGCTAGCAGAGCACAATGCATAATGTTCAACAATGGGAACCCTTTGGCTATCTTGATCCTGGCTCTAGCGCTGGTTATAAAGCTCTGACCACACCCTTAAAGAAATCACTAATTTACTAAATGAATTGAATGTTGCCTTTTTGGGACACTTTCCCGGATCAAACAGCGTCTTTGCCCTCATGCACTTGTTGAGGCACGGTTTGAAGAAGTAGTCCTATATATGTTTTAGTTGCGTTATTCTCTCTTCTCTGTTTAGTCTCACTGCCACAATTAATAAGGGCAAAGTCCCTCAAACAATTTTACTTCAACTCATGTTTTTAGCCTAACAGCAGATTTCCTCTGATTCCCTTTTCACAATTTGGAGGTTGTGAAATGCTCTTTTTTTTTTTAAAGTCCTTTTTATAATCATTGAGCTCCAACTATATTCTGTATTCCTCCCTGATCGACATTAGCACATGTTCCCTGTTATACCAGTGTTGCTACTCCCTCTGTTAGCTTATTTTTTCCATACTTTCTCCATTCCATCTGAATAGATTCTTGGCCAGAATTTGTTTTCCTTTCTCATCTAGTTTAGAGCCAGATTTTGATTTAAGTCTAGATCTTCCTGTAATGTAGAAATAGGAGTCAGCTATTGAGGTAATTAGATAGTTCCTCTCTTTAATGGGATAATAACTAATCTGTGATATAATATGTCATATCTTTTATGCTATAAAACTTAATGTTAGCAATCTCAAAATTAAAATTAATACAGCTGACATTACTTGCTGTTTGTGAAAGATAGTAAAATATTTGCTTCTACTTTTCCCAATTTAGTTGATTTTTACTTTTTTAAGCACTGCATTTTTAGTGACTTTTGTACTCCCTGTCTTCTCTTCAGTATTTTCCTGTTCGTATATCATCCATCTGTTTTATTCCTCATAGCCCCTTGGCTAAATTGTTTCTGCATGAAAATTATCCCTAGTTATTTCATTCTTATCTATTAGCTGTTCCTGGTTGATTTCATCTTTCCAGGCCTTATCCATTCTAATCTAATACCTTATGACTTTCATTTTTAAGCATGTTGCTATTTGCATTATCCCTGCCCTGATGCAGCTGTCCTTGCAGAAACGAACCCATCTGTCCTAGGATTAATGCATTAGCATTAATGCCTAACAGTGAGCTCCTCTGTCATTGCTTATTAGCCAAGCATTAATTTACCTTTCTGTTCTCGAACATGGATGGACATGTAAATCAGGTATTACCACCTGTGAAGTCCTGATCTGCCTGTATGCTAATCTACAGTCATCTTTTTCAGGACTTTCAGATGTCTTTGCTTATTGTCCTTTGCCATAGGCCACAACTGTTGATTGCTGTATTTCTTCTGAGATAATCATCTCCAGTTTGTACAAAATTAGTATATCTAACAGAAAACTAGAAAATTGCTCTGGATTCTGAAGAGGAGGCGATGGCCTAGTGGTACTATTGCTGGACTGTTAAATCTGGGGAGCTGGGTTAGAATCCTGCTGTGGCAGATGGTGGAATTTGAATTCAATAAAAGGAAATCTGGAATTAAGAGTCCAATTATGACCATGAATCCTTGGGGAAAGCCAAAAGCTTTTTATTTCTTTCTTTGGGGGGCACGTTGGAACAGTGGTTAGCACTGCTGCCTCACACCGCCAGGGACCCGGGTTCAATTCCACCCTCGGGCGACTGCCTGTGCGTAGTTTGCACATTCTCCCCGTGTCTGCGTGGGTTTCCTCCGGGTCCTCCGGTTTCCTCCCACAGTCCAAAGACGTGCAGGCTATGTGGATTGGTCATGCTAAATTGCCGGTAGTATTCAGGGATTTGAACATTAGGTGGGTTATAGGGGGATGGGTTTGGGGTGGGTGCTCTGATGGTCAGTGTGGACTTGTTGGGCCAAAGGATCTGTTTCCACACTGTAGGGATTCTATAACCTATGATTCCATGATTCTACTAGACAGACACTTAAGTATCAACTGACCTGTAGGTACAGAAATTTAAGTTTGAGAGGTAGAATCCTGAGGATGGTTATGCCAGCTGTCTGCCATTCCTAGAGTCAGTCATACAGCACAGCAATATACTCTTCAGCCCAATCAGTCCATGCCAACCATAATCCCAAATTAAAGTAGTCCCACCTGCCTGTGCTCAGCCCATATCCCTCCAGACATTTCTTATTCACGTACCTGTCCAAATATCTTTTAAATGTTGTAACTGTACCTGTATCCACCACTTCCTCTGGAAGTTCATTCCACACATGAATTAATGTGTTAAAAAGGAAAAAAAAATGCTCTGTGTGTCTTTTAGTAATCTTTCTCCTCTCCCCTTTTTACAGAAAAAGCAAAAAACCTCCTAGTCTTGAAAATCCACACCCTGGGGGAAAGACACCTGCTATTCACCTTATTCACACCCCTTATGATTTTATAAACCTCTAAGGTCACCCATCAGTCTCCTACACTTGTGGAAAAATGTTCCAATCTATCCAGCCTCTACTTAACTCAGACCCTCCATTCCTGGCAACATCCTGGTAAATCATCTTCTGAGCGCTCTCCACCTTAATAATATCCTCCCTATAATGGGGTGACCAGAAAAGGCCTCACCAACGTACTGTCCTTACAAGCCTGGATGACCTTTGAGTAGGATCTACACTGTTTGCTCAGTTTTCCACACTCAACACTGCTAACCACATCTGCCCTTAAATATTTATGCTTGCATTTTTGTTTTATTACACCTTAACAGTATCCACTGGTATTGGTGGCACACTCGTCTTAGGAGAAACCATTCTGGAATCATAGTACTGAAAGAGGCCATCCAGCCCTTTGTTTGAAACAGCTGCCCCTTAGACAAACTTCCCTGCTAATTTTCCTTTTCACTTGTATGTCTGTTTGCCTTTTGAAAATTGCTACTGAATCATCTTCTGCCAAGAGAGATAGCAAGAACTGCAGATGCTGGAGTCAGAGTCAACACTGTGTGGGACTGGAGGAACACTGCACGTCAGGCTCCATCAGAGGAGCAGGAGAGTAGACGTTTCAGGTCAGGACCCTTCATCAGAGCCGAAACATTGACCTACCTGCTCCTGTGATGCTGCCTGACCTGCTGTGTTTCTCCAGCCCCACACGGTGTTGATTCATCTTCCATCACCCTTTCTAGGAATTGGATCCTAGAATATTATCAATCCTGAGGAGCTGCCAAAGAAGAAGAATAATTTGATGCATTTAATAATAAATTCATGTCTCAGTACTGGTTATTTTGCTGTTTATCTTAATTCAGTTTTTTTGGTCAACTGGCAGCAACAGTTTCTCCATATTTGGGGCGACACGGTGGCTCGGTGGTTAGCACTGCTGCCTCACAGCACCAGGAACCCAGGTTCAATTCCACCCTCGGGCAATTGTCTTGTTGAGTTTGCACGTTCTCCCCGTGTCTGCATGGGTTTCCTCCTGGTGCTACGGTTTCCTCCCGGTGCTCCGGTTTCCTCCCATAGTCCAAAGATGTGCAGGCTAGGTGGATTGACCATGCTAAGTTGCCCATGGTGTTCAGGGATGTATAAATTAGGTGGGTTATAGGGGGATGGGTCTGGGTGGGATGCTCTGAGGGTTGATGTGGACTTGTTGGGCCGATGGGCCTTGTGCTGTATCTGTGTTGGGAGTATTTAATGCAGGAGTTCCCAAAAAGCAATGCAATTGCAAAATCCAGTGCAACATTTTTCACACACCGGTAATGCAGCCTTAAAAACATTTTGTTCTGTGGATCCAGGAGGATTTTCCAGACTTTTTGTTTTAGTCATTCATGGGACGTGGATGAAATTGGCTGGACCAGCATTTACTGCCTATACCAAATGCCATGAACTAATGCAGTCCTTTTATAGATGTGCATAATGTTGTCCAGAAGTAAGCTCAAGGATTTTGACCCAGTGACAATGAAGGAAGGACAAGATGGTTCCAAGGCTGGATGTAGTGTAGCTTGGAGGGGTTCTTGCAGGTGGTGGTGTTTCCATATATTTTATGACAGTGGCTTCCTAGGGGGTAAAGGTCTCATGGTTGAAGGGTGCTGTCAAACAAGCCTTCATAAGTTACGACATTACATCTTTTGGGTGGTGCACGCTACCAGTGTACATTGGTGCTGAAGGGAGTAATCATTGAAGATTTGTAGGTGGAGTGGCAATCAAACTTGCTGGTTTGTTCTAATGGTGTGAAGCTGCTTGAATGTTGTTAGAACTGTGCCCATCCAGCAAATGGAGAGTTTTCTGATAAACTTCTGTCTACTACCTTCAAGGCCGAAGTCAGAGATGAGTTGTTTGCTGCAGAATTCCTCGCCTCTGACCTGTTCTTCCAAACCATTTTACCCACTGAACACCTGCCTCCACCCCCTCAATCCTGGGGTTTCACCACTTTGTGGAGTGATTCATGCTGGCATCGATGACTTGAAGATGAGGGAATGTTAAGTCTTTCCCATTGTCTAGCAATAATGTCCATTCACCAGTGTTTAAAACAAAGTTGGACAAAAATCACCCGTCAAGGTGTAGAATGCAAATCTGAAGTATTGAAATTAAACTATTGCGTGTTGTAACTCCTGAGTTAACCTTTCCATTGGTTTGAGGCAAGCTGTTGTATATGTTAACCTGAATCCTAATTAGATGTTTTTCTTTACAGTGTGTACTCTACTTGTGGGCTCTTAAAATTCTGTACCCAAATACGTTGTTCCTTTTGCGCGGGAATCATGAATGCCGACACCTCACGGAATATTTCACCTTTAAACAAGAATGTAAGTAACTGTTGACTTCTGTTGCACTGTTTGAGGTTAAGTCCATGACTTGTATTCTGTAGCTGTACAGAATTCTGGAGGTTTGGTGACTAGACCCTAATTCTAGGGTTGGCCCTGTGGTTACTGTAGACTGGGAGGACTGTACAGTTCTGCAGTTAAGAAGAATGGGCAAACAGTAACACTGTGATATTTGCATAGAGTCTGAAATGGTTAATCTTCAGTCTCCATAGCCCGGTCACAGAAACAGTGAATTGAATAATTGAGGTTATTTTTCATGGAGTTGCCTTTAACTTTAATGGGGAAGGTTTTTTCCATATGGTTGGTAACAAGTGTACTGGATAGCTCTTTGATACTTGTGCATCCAAAATCAAATTTTTCAGAGTCACCTTTTAGTCTAGTCTTTGTGACACTGTGGAGCAGTTGTTGGTGATTGGCCCTCAAGGTAAATCGTTCATAGTCATGGAGATTTCCTCATGAGATGGTAAAATTATTTTTTGCAACAGGCCTTAGTGTTCTTGCTGAGCTGCTTTGCAGCAGTGAGTGCCCATTTCACAATGGCAAGACCTTGGTTTTAATTCCAGCCTGTTCTGAGTTTAATCTGTTATGGTAGCAATGATGCTTGGCTTCTGCACCCAAGCTGGTGGGTGATGAAATCTGCCAGATTCTCAGTCCTGGAACGTTTGAATACTAGGTGAGGATAACATCGAGCATGGCTGTTGGGTGCCTTGCAATTGTGTGTCTGGCTCACTCCCACTGCCCATTTCCTACATGGGAAGTATTTTTTATTCAGTGGAGAGTGATTAGAGCCTGGGTAAATGTAGAAACACAAAATAGGAGTGGGAGTAGGCCATTCAGCCTTTTGAGCATGCTCCACAGCTCAGTGATCAGGGGTGGTCATCCAATTCAGTAGAACAAAGAACAATACAGCAGGAACAGGCCCTTTGGCCCTCCAAGCCTGTGCTGCCACATTTTACCCTTCCATACTAAGAACTATCTTCACTTACAGGATCAGTATCCCTCCATTCCCTACCTATGCATGTGTTCGTCCAAGTGCTTCTTGAACGCTGCTATTGTGTACCCAGCTCCTGCTCTCTCCCTGTACTCTTTAATCCCTTTAGACTTCGCGACTGTGTTTAAACTCCTCGAAAGCATTCAATGTTTTGACCTCAACTGCTTTCTATGGCAGAGAATTTCACAGACTTACCACTCTGGGTGAAAACATTTTCTCACATCTCCGCCCTAAATGGCTTACCCCAATCCTTAGATTGTGACCCTTGGTTCTGGACTTCCTGGTCATTGAGAATATCTGTCTACGTTTACCCTGTCTAGTCCTGTTAGAATGTTGTATATTTTTATAAGATCGCCCTTCTTTCTTCAAGCTGCAGTGAATATAGCCCTAACTGACCAAGCAACTTGGATCATATGGGAGTTATCAGTCCAACAAATGAACATCATGAGAAAGGGGAAATAGGAAGAGAAGCATGAACTGTTGTCTGGTCAAGAGGTTATAATAGTAACAAGCTCTGTGCAGTTGAAGGTCTCTACTTGGGAACCCTATGGATAAACGTTACAAAAGATGATTTCCTATTGGGGGGGGAAGAGGAATGTCAGTAAATGTTACCAATGGGATGTAGATAAATATAAATATTTAATTGCAGTAGCTATTTAATAGGCACAAATGCAAGACCAGATTATTAATCCCTCCTTTTGTTTAAATAGGTAAAATCAAGTATTCCGAAAGAGTGTATGATGCTTGTATGGATGCTTTTGACTGCCTTCCTCTTGCTGCACTTCTAAACCAGCAGTTTCTTTGTGTTCATGGAGGACTTTCTCCAGAAATTCATAGTTTAGAAGATATTAGAAAAGTAAGTATTTCATGCTTTGATCATGTCCATAATGTAAATGGCTGTTGCAGTAGCAGCACTTCAGGAGAATATGAGGAGAAATTATCTTTTAAAAAGTCACATTCAAGAGCTTTTGTTAATTTTGATCACTGTTTTGATCTTTTCCATGGACTTTGGGTGATAACTAAAGTGCAAAAATAAGTTCTTTATCATTTGTTCAACATTTACGTGTGAATGGTTTACTGTTTCCATCCCACAGGGGTAACAGCTCTTTGGAAATTCCTCTTCAGGAAATTTGTTCCAGTGCAGCCCATTGAGTAACAGCTAATCAGTGTTTGTTTGTTTGTTGATCCTTTCCCCTCACTCTGTTATAGATTTGACTTGTTTCCATAATGAGACCATAAAATGTAGGAGCTGTACTGATAATCTTCAACTCCACTTTCAGCTTTATCCCCATAACCCTTGATTCCCTTATTGATTAAATAACCTATTTACCTCCGCCTCGAGCAAACTGACCCAGCCTTCTCAGCCGTCTTGGAAAAAAGAATTGCACAGGTTCACTACCTTCTGAGAGAGGAAATTCCTCCCCATCTCTCTATAAAATAGGGAATCTCTTAGATTAAGATTATGCCCTTTGGTCCTAGACTGTTCCACAAGTCAAAACAACTCTGCATCTACACTGTCAATTCCTCACCCCGCCCTCACCTCTCATTCTTTGAACTCCAGTGAGTACAGGTCCAAGCTACTCAGCCTCTCCTTATATCCCTTTGTATCTGGGATCAACCAAGTGAACTTTCTCTGAATTGTCTGCAATGCCAGTGTATCTTTTGTTACATAAGCTACCAAAATTGTTCGGAGTATTCCAGGTGTAGTGTCTTGTATAATTTTAACTTTTCTATTTTTACACTCCATTTCTTTGAAATAAAGGCCAACATTCCATTTACCTGAAAACAAAAACTGCTGGAGATGACAGCAGGTCAGGCAACATCCATGGAGAGAAAGCAAGCTAATGTTTAGAGTGTAGATGACTCTTCTTCATTTGCCTTCCCTATTACCTGCCAGACATGTGTGCTATACTTTTGATTCATGCACAACGGCCCGCAAGCGAGCAAAAGCAGAAAATGCTGCAAAAGCTCAGCAGCTCTGACAGCACATGTGGAGAAAAAAAAGTTTACCTTTTGGGTTCGATAGGGCTCAGCTTCCCTGTGTGCTGCACTTTTCAGCAGGCTTTCTCCATTTGAATGATATTCATCCCCAGTTTTTTTCCTTCCAAAGTGCATCATCATTAATTTTCCTACATATGCTATCTACCATTTTTTTGCAAATCTTTTAACCTTTCCAAATGCCTCTGTCAACTCTGTTATCCTCATGACTTGCTCTCCCACCTATTTTTGTCATCTGTTTCCCATGACTGAAGCGATTTGTGGCTTTTTATTTTGTTGTGCCCGTGACTTTAGTAACTGAAATAAGAATTCCTGCTTTCCCTAGGACGTGGGGGAAATTGACTAGCTCCTTTCTTAGGCACCAGTTTCCTCCTCCATGCTCTTAAATAAGCTTGTGCTGGAGACCCCCATCCTCTTAAACTCATGCCCAAATCTTTTTTCACCTTTACCTCAAGTTCCACGAATATGCTCTTTCCATCCACCTAAATGCTCAATTTTCCCACTTGAATCAAGTTCCCACCCTCCCATATTTGACCATGGCCACTACACTTGCACTTTTGAGTACAAGTGTAGTGCAATCTTCCCTCCTGTAATCAAAACTGCTTTACTATTCCTTTATCTTTGTCTACCTCTATGGACATAACTGCTACGCTCTCATTATCCTCTGCTCCAATCTTGCCAATACATTTTCGATAATGATATCTATCCCTGCTGTCACGCCCCACACTACATTCCTTCAAGAGTTTACTGTTTCTGAATGATACTCTACATAGCAGCTCACCACCATCTTCTCAAGAGCAACTCGGGATGGGTAATAAATACTGGCCAACCAATGATGCCCATGTCCCATGAGTGAATAACAAATAAAGCACCGATATCCACTTTGCAGTTGCCAGGTGGCTTGTGGTTCATGGTTGTGTTTCCTGCAGCCTGCTTGTCATACCGCTACTGCTTACTGCCCCTCATCCTTGCCCTTTGTCCCCTGACCACCTCGCTCCACCTCTTTCTCACTCCCTCTCTTAGATAAAGTTAACAAAAGGCAATTACAAGAGTATGAAGACGCGTTGTCTAAAAAGGATTAGATTAGAAAGGAAACTGATGAAGCATTGGCTAACATTTATGCTCTACAGAATGGTGCATGATTTGTGGCTAACTAATGAAATTAAGTGTGGTATCAAAGTGAAAGAAATGGTATACAATCCTGCAAAAATTAGTGGTAGGCAACAAGTTTTGGAAAACTTGAACTCACAAAGGGACAGATGGAAATATGAGAGAAAAATAGTTTGGAATATAAAAACAGGCAGTAAAGCTTCTACAAAACTCTTAAAAAGAAGAACTGAAGTGACCATTGGTCCCTTAAAGAGTGAAACTGGAATTAATGGAAAAAGGACTGTTGGAGACTTTCAACAAGTGTTTTGTATCCATCTTTCATAGAATGCATGAAAAGCACAAGTATAGAAATATAGAAAATACGTGCAGGAGTAGGCCATTCAGCCCTTCAAGCCTGCATCACCATTCAATATGATCATGGCTGGTCATGCAATCTCAGTATCCCATTCCTGCCCTTCCCCATACCCCTTGAATATATCTAATGAACTGGCCCCAACAGCTTCATGAGGGAGAGAATTACACAGGATCACAACTGAGTGAAGAGATTCTTCCTCATCTCAGTCCTGAATGGTTTACCCTTTATTCTTAGACCGTGACCCTTTGTTCTGAACTTCCCAACATCTGGAACATTCTTCCCACATCTAGCCTGTCCAGCCCATCAGGATTTTGTGTTTCTGAGATACCCCTTCGTTCTTCTAAATACAAGCCGAGTTGATCCAGTTTTCCCTCTGTCAGTCCTGCCATTCCAGGAATCAGTCTGATGAACCTTCGCTGGACTCCATCAATCGCAAGAATGTCCTTCCTCAGACTAGGAGACCAAACCTGCACACAGTATTCAAGGTGTGGCCTCGCCAAGGCCCTGTATAACTGCAGCAAGACATCCTTACTCTGATACCCTCAACGTCTCGCTATGAAGGAGATCATGCCATTAGCTTTCCTCACTGCCTGCTGCACCCACATGCCAACCTTTAGTGACTGTTCCAACATGACACCCAAATCTCGTTACACCTCATCTTTTCCTAAACTGCCACCATTCAGATAATAATCTGCCTTCCTGTTTTTGTGACCAAATTGGATAACCTCACATTTATCGACATTATATTGCATTTGTCAAGTATTTGCCTACTCAGCCAGTCTGTCATGCTGCAGCCTCTTAGCACACACTTCTCCTCACAGCACACACTGCCACCCAGCTTCGTCTCCTCTGCAAATTTAAAGATGTAGCATTCAGTTCCTTTGTCCAAATTGTTAATGCATATTGTGAATAGCTGAGGTCCCAGCACTGAACCCTGCAGCACCCCACTTGTCACTGCCTACTACTCTGAAAAGGACCCATTTATTCCAACTCTCTGCTTCCTGTTTGCCAACCAGTTCTCAATTCATTGCCTCTAATATCATGAGCTTTTAATTTTCGTTACTAATCTCTTGTGTGGAACCTTGTCAAAAGGCTTTTGACAGTCCAGATACCGAACATCTACTGATTCACCCGTCTACTCTACTGGTCACATCCTCAAAAAATTCCAGGTGATTTGTCAAGCATGATTTCCCTTTAGTGAATCCATGCGGACTAGAACCGATTCTGTCCCCATTTTCCAAATGCTCAGTTATTACATCCTTAAAGATTGATTCCAGCATTTTCCCCACCACTGATGTCGGGCTAACTGGCCTATAATTCCTCATTTTCTCTCTCCCTCCTCTCTTAAAGGATGGAGTTACATCAGCTACCCTCCAGTCCATTGGAACTCTTCCAGAGTCTACAGAATGCTGGAAAGCGATCACCAATGCATCTGTTAGTTCTAGGGCCACTTCCTTAAGTACTCTGGGATACAGAACATCAGGCCCAGGGGACTTATCGGGTTTTAATCCCATCATTTTCCCATTTCCCGACTAATGAGGATTTCCTTCAGTTCCTCCTTCACACTTGATCCTCTGTTCCCTAGCATTTCCTGAAGATTATTTGTGTTCTTCTTAGTGAAGACAGATCCAAAGTATTTGTTCAACTGGTCTGCCATCTCTTTGTCCATTATTAATTCACCTGATTCTAACTGGAAGGGACCTATATTTGTATTCACCAGTCTTTTTCTCTTCACATATCTGTAGAAGCTTTTGCAGTCAGTTTTGTTTTCTGCAAGCTCGCTTTCAAATTCTGTTTTCCCTTTCTGAATTAAACCCTTTGTCGTCCTCTTGCTGAATTTTAAATTTCTCCCAGTACTTGGGTTTGCTGTTTTTTCTGGCCAATTTACCTGCATCTTCTTTGGCTTTAACACTGTTCCTGATTTCCCTTGTTAGCCATGGTTGAACCTCCTTCCCTGTTTTACTCTTACGCCAGACAGGGATGTACAATTGTTGAAGTTCATCCATGTTTTCTTTAAATGTCTGACATTGCCTATCCATTGTCAATCTCTTAATTATCCTTGGCCAGTTTATCCTAGCATGCCTCATACCATTTCTTCAAGCTCAGGACCCTAGCTTCAGATTTAATTGTGTTTCTCTCCTCCTACTGAAGAATTCTACTGTATTATGGTTACTCCCAAAGGATCTCTCACTACAGTGTTGCTAGGTAATCCTCTCTCGTTAGACCGTACCCAGTCTAGGATGGCTTGCTCTCCAGTTGCTTCCTCGACATCCCAGTCGAGGAGACCATCTCTCATATATTCCAGGAAATCCTCCTCCACTGCATTGATGCCATTTTGGTTAGTCCAATCAATATGTAGATTGAAGTCCTCCGTAATAACTGCTATACCCTTACTGTATGCATCTCTGATTTCCTGTTTGATGCAGTCCCTAACGTAACTACTGTTCAGTCTGTACACAACTCCCACTAATGTTGTCTTCCCCTTCGTGTTCCACAGCTGCACCCGTACTGATTCCGCATCGTCCAGGATAATGTCCTCCCATACTATTGGGTTAATCACTCCTTAACCAGCAATGCTACCCCGCCTTCCTTTCCTTTCTATCTATCTGTCTGTCCTGAGAGTTGAATATCCCTGCATGTTGTGTTCCCATCCTTGGTCACCCTGGAGCCAGGTCTCTGATCCCAATTACATCATATCCATTCATACCTGTTTGCGAGTTATTTCATCCACATTATTACAAATGCTTCTCGCATTGAGACACAGCCTTCAGACTTTTTGACGTTTATTGCCCTTTTTAGAATCATTGTGAAATGTGGTCCTTTTTGATTTTTGTCTTTGGTTTCTCTGAATGGGAGCTCAACATGCAGGGATATTCAATTTTCAGGAAAGGGAGGTGGGGTAGCATTGCTGGTTAAGGAGGCAATTAACCCACTTTCACTTTTCCCCTTACTGTCCTTTGTTTCTGTCCCCATTTTACTTTTTTCTAACTTCCTGGATTAGTTTCCATCCCCCTGCCATATAAGCTTAAACTCTCCCCAACGGAACTAGCAAACACCACCCCCGCCCCAGGACATTGGTTCCTGTCCTGCCCAAGTGCAGATTGTATGGTTTGTATTGGTCCCACCACCCCCAGAACCGATTCCAATGTTCCAGGAATTTGAATCCTCCCTCTTGCACCATCCTTCAAGCCATGTATTCATCTTAGCTGTCCTGCCATTCGTACTGTGGCTAGTACATGATACTTGTAGTAATCTCGAGATTACTGCCTTTGAGGTCCTACTTTTTACTTTAACTCCTCCCTAAATTCAGCTTGTAGGACCTCATCTGATTTTTGGTTTTTTAACCTATATTGTCGGTGCTTATATGCTGGTTGTTCACCGCCTACAATCAGTACCATCACCACCACCCCTGCCCGGCGCGCGCACGCTGCTGCCACCTTCCCCTGGTGAACCATCTCCCCCAGCAGTGTTCCAACCGGTATACCGATTTTGGAGGGAGATGACTGCAAGGAACCTCTGCACTGCTTCCTACTCTTTGTGTGTCTGCTGGTCACCCATTCCCTTTCTTCCTCAGTAATTTTTATCTGCGGTAGAAGATCGAGAAGCAAAAGGAAGCGAGGAACTGAAAACCGTTACTAACAGTCGAGAAGAAAATAGGAATACTAATGGAATGAAAGGCTGACAAGCCATCAGGTCCCAGTGACCTCCATAATGGTGTCTTAAAAGAAGTTACAGCAGGGATAGTAATGCATTGATTGTAATCATCCAGAATGTCCTTGATTTTTGAAAGGACCTAGCAGAGTGAAAAACTAAAAATATATCACCACTTTTCAATAAAGCGGGGATGCAAAATAATACTTTTGTAGACTAATAAACCATCTTGTAAATGGGGAAAATGCTGAAATCTATGAAATGAAGGGCATTTATAAAATCATCATACATTAAGGCAGTCAATGGTTTCATGAAAGGGAAAACTTGTTTGACAAAATTATTAGAGTTCTTTGAGAGTGTAATAAGGTCAAACATGGCGAATAAAGGGGAGCTAGTAGATATTTCATGTTTGGATTTCACTATTGGTCTGATAATATGCTACGTAATAGGATAATGCAGAAGGTAAGGGCTTACGGTGTAGTGTCCTTTATTAGCATGGCTATAAGATTGACTAGCTAGCAGAAAACAATGCTGGGATAAATGGGTCATTTTCAGGTTGGCAAACTCTAATAAGTGAAATGCTGCAGGGATTAACGCTTGGCCTCAACTGTTTGTGATCTAAATTAATAACCTAGATGATGAGGCTGGCTTTTGAAACCATTTTTACAGATATCCTGATACATAGGAAACACATTGTGTGGAGGATGCAATGAGGCTGTTAGGTAATTGAGCAGACATTTGGCAGTGGAGTTTAATATGAAAAAATGAGAAGTTGTCTACTTTGGCAGCAAGAATTGAAAAACTAACTATTATTTAAATAGAGAGGGAGACTACAGAATTCTGTGGTGCAAAGGGATCGATGTGTCTTGTATGTGAACCAAAAAAGGTCACCATGTAGGTTACAACTAGTAATTAGGAAGACAAATGGAATGATGACCTTTATTGCAAAGGGAGGGAGTATAGGGAAGTCTTGCTACAACTGTACTGGGTAGTGGTGAGGTTGCACCTAGAGTAATCTGTTAAATTTTTATCTCCTCGAATAAGGATAAGGCTATTCTTGTCTTGGAGGCTCTTTGGAAAAACTTAACCAGGCAAATTCCTGGGATTAAGGGTTTGCTGAGAGAAAGTTTGTGCAGATTGGGGTTATAACTGTGAATGAAAGGTGGCCTTATTAAGCCTAAAAAAAATTGAGGTGGCCTGACAGGATAGATGTAGATGGATTCCCTCGAAAGGAAACATAGAAATAGGGATACAGTTACAAACTGAGATGAGAAGTTTCTTCAATTTAGAATAAGGTTTGAACCACCAATTGCCTTGAGAAAGCGGGTTATAATCATTTTGAATACTACAAATGGGCTGCTTGCATTCACTTTAACAATCATTGCACTGTTAACCACAGGCTTTCCCAGGCCTCGGGGGAACTGCAGGTTAAAGGAGACACCCTATAATCTGTCTGACTTCCCTTCCTCCCACAACTTTATTCATTCACGGGATGAGGGCGTCGCTGCTGCCAGCATTTATTGCCCATCCCTAATTGCCCAGAGGGCATTTAAGAGTCAACAACATTGCTGTGGGTCTGGAGTCACATGTAGCCCAGACCAGATGAGGATGGCAGATTTCCTTCCCTAAAGGACATTAGTGAACCAGCTAGGTTTTTCCAACAATCGACAATAGATTCATGGTCATCATTAGATTCTTAATTCCAGATATTTTGTTGAATTCAAATTCCACCCTTTGCCCTGGTGGGATTTGAACCAGAGTCCCCAGAACGTTATCTGGGCCTCTGGATTAACAACACCATTTGCTATCAATAATTCGAGTTCATGAGGTCCAGGATTCAGGCTAAGTAACGCTGAATTAAGCTGCTTTCGTTTTTGTGACAGAATATATGGCTTGATTGAAGTTAAATTGTAAACAAGATATTGTAAGCTGATCACCATAAGGACAATGTTCCCAGTCCCTTCACCCAACCACTAACTCCACTTTCTCAACTAGTCATATCTTTGCATGTAACGAAAGAGGTAACCTACATTTCCCATATAAGAGCTCTCCACAGGTCAAAATCCAACTCTGGTCAGTTTTGTAAAGCTGTCTCGCCTGGAAGTGACTGCTGTTTTATATCAGTTGAAGCAACTTTGTTTTATAAGTGATACTGACTCTCTTGTTTTTCTAACTTGTCTCCTTACAGTTAGATAGGTTTAAGGAGCCACCTGCATTTGGGCCAATGTGTGATTTGTTGTGGTCAGACCCTTCAGAGGATTTTGGAAACGAGAAAACACAAGAACACTTCAGTCATAATACAGTGCGAGGATGCTCCTACTTCTACAGGTGCAGTTTGTGGGCAGGTGCACGGCTTTGTCAATGTGCATTCAGTTTTAGTTTTCTGTCATTTTAAATGGATATTAATTGGACACCTTTTGTATTTCAGTTACTCAGCTGTTTGTGAATTTTTACAACACAATAATTTGCTATCAATAATTCGAGCTCATGAGGCCCAGGATGCAGGGTAAGTAACACTGAATTAAACCAGTATCATTGTCATGACAATATGGCTTGATTGAAGTGAAATTATAAACAAATTTCCAAAAGACAATGTGAAAACAAAAAGATCTTTGATTTTATGATTTGGATTGAAGCGTGATGGGCTCGAGTGTTGATATGTTGCCAGAGGCTCTAAACTGCTGGGGTGAATTACTCTATATACAGCCTACTCCATTCAGGTATTGGTTACAGCTGAGAGCATTAAATAGCGTGATATGGAGAAAAAGCCACCAGTCTGTGCCCATCAGCCCTCCCTAAAGAAAATAATCTGCATTTTGCCTCAATATCATTAGGCTAGAGAGTGGTTAAAATCTGTCCAGGTTAGCATTCCTGGTTGCTATCTGCTGGCTTTGGATATGAAATTGCATGACACATGAAATGAATTGTGGTGTTCCTTTTTAATAGAGGGATATTGTCCAAACACTGTGTGAAGACTCTGGTACTAAAATGTCCACCTTGATTTCAAAAATCAGTGGAGCTGTTTTCAAGTACTTGGATTGTTTAATTCTCAGGCTAAGCTCATTTTGCATTTAGGAACCTCTCTTTTCATAAGATTGCATTGATAAGTTAGTGGTGATTAGCTTGAAAATCCTGACCGAGTAATGAATAATGTAGGGGAAAAATAGCAGAATAACCATGATTTCTTGAGTTTTACTATATGCAGTGTTCACTCTTCAGTTGGCTTCCTGAGTCTGAGGTACCTAACTTGCTAGGATGTGGCCACCACTGATGTGGCAAACTTTTTTTTTGCCTATTGCTGATTGCCCTTGAACTGAGGGCAAGCACATGTAGCGCATGTGCGTTATTTGTAGGCCAGACTGGTTAAGGATAGCAGATTTCTTTCTCACGAGCATTAGTGAACCTGGTAGGATTTTTGCAAAAATATGATGGTCAACATTGAGACAAGCTTTCAATTCCTGATTAATTGAATTAAATTCCACCAACCATCGTGATGTGATTTGTATGCATGGCCCCAGAACATTAGCCTGGGCCTCTGCCTTACTTGATCAGTGGCATTATCTATACATCACCATCTCTTGCCAATTCAGTAAAGTTCAGTGATAGTCTAAATCCTTAACTTGCCACAAATTGGGATATGATGAACAGCTCCAAGTGGTAGCTCCTAACACCTTTTCTATTTACCTGACTAAAGTACTGAATAAATTATGATAGAAATAGTCAAAAATCATGTGGTTGCTGGATTCCAGACACATGAACCCAGCGAACTGTATGCAGTCATGTTACTGTAATACATCTCAATCTGTCAGCCTTGACTAAGTTTTGTTTAATATAGCATCTCTTAATTCAGCAATTAGTTTCGGGGATTATGTTGCACATAGTCTAATGTAGTTTGGATAGGAACAGATGTATGTTAAAAGACTTGGATGTCAGTGAAAGGTATGAAAGCTATACCAGGAAGTTGAGATACTGGGCTGTTCAGATTGGTGGATCATTACTGCTTCTGGATTATTTCTTCAATTTGCCCTTTACAATCCTTCCATTCCTGGCTGATCAGGAATATCTTCTGCTTTGGTTAACTGTTGCCTATCCTTTAAGAAGTTGTGTTCCTAAATTGCCCCAACTGCTGCATCTCTCTGAACTGTTTTTTCTTCCTGGCTTTTTAATGCTTTCCAATTCCTTTCCCTTTTCTTCTGTTAGTCGTTTAGTGTTTTTTTTGGTACCTAAACTATAGGTTTTATGGCTTGACCATCATCAAGTTCAGAATTCTTTACCTTCTAACTAATCTATCAAAAGATTGGTCTGACTTGCTTTGGCTGCAGAATCCTTGAAAGTTCACTACTATCTTCTGAGGTGAGGGAGGACACTTTACTATCTCAACTTGTCTAAAGACCATTAATGCTATGAATCAGAAATTGCTGTGAATTATTATTACAGATGTACCTTGAGCTTAAGTGGTCAGTGGGCTTTTGGTGAGAACACAGTGTGGAGCTGGAGGAACACAGCAGGCCAGGCAGCATCAGAAATTTCTGAAGAAGTGTCCCAACCCGAGGCGTCGGCTTTCCTGCTCCTGTGATGCTGCCTGGCCTGCTGTGTTCCTCCAGCTCCACACTGTGTTCTCTCTGACTCAGCATCTGCAGTTCTTACTATCTCTGAGTGGCCTTTTGGTGGTGTTGAGTGGGACCAGGGTAACTGATAGCTGCTTTTCTGCTTGTTGGCTCTGCAGCACTGGCTGTTATGGTGCCCCAGAGCCTAAGGACTGTCATCCTCCCACGTGTCTACTGTAACAAAGAGCTGTATGACCTGTCCAGGAAATGAATCTAAATTGTGTTTTCACGTTCTAAGTTTTGAAAGCTACTATGCTAAAAGTATGGTAATAGAACAAGAGAAATTAAACCTATGAAGCCAATTTTTTTTTATCAGTTGAGTTTGGAAGATTAACAGTTTGTTTATATTCTTCAAACCACAAAATTATTAAGTGACACGGATCTCTAAGGTTTTAGAGTAGATTTGTAGCTCGGGTTGTGGATGTTGTGGTTGGTTGACTCGCTGAGCTGGTTCGTTGTTCCGCAGACGTTTCATTACCTTGCTGGGTAACATCATCAGTGCAGCCTCCGATGAAGCGCTGTTGTGTTTTCCCGCCTGTTATTTAAACTTTGGTGTCCGTTGAGCTGGATTACCTCCCTTCCGGTTTTCCTTTGCAATGGAGTGTATATGGGGTCGAGCTCTGTGTTCCAGCTCAACGGATACCAGACTTTAAATAACAGGCGGGAAAACACAACGGCGCTTCATCAAAGGCTGCACTGATGATGTTACCCAGCGTAGTAGTGAAAAGTCTGCGGATCAACAAAGCAGCTCGGCGAGCCAACCAACCACAATAAGCAAGATGGAATTTTAACCTTGTCCTAGCTAATGACCTTAGTTTCATTACAGGAGTGTTAATGGACATTGGAGAATAAATTTGGTCAAACATTGTGAAGTAATTCATCACTGAAACAACATAACTGCAAACATGCTATAAAAATGTTAATAAGCTCTTGGGTCCCATTAACAGTTTGGTGTGAGCACATTGAAATAGAAGAAATGAATCACCTCAACAAATTCAAGGGGTTTTGGCGCATTTAGCAGACAGTGGTATAATTTCATTCTCATGGAGTTGGATATGACAACTGAATGTCTGATGCTGCAGCTCAGTAATCGACTATATTTTAAATGCCCCATTTTAGTCAATTGATTATGAACAGTTTCCTTCCTTTCATTTTACTGTCAATAATTCTTTTTATGATGTGCACCTGTGTAATACTGGGAACTCTTCAAAAATATTTGCTATCCAGGGATGCATAGTGTGCATTGTCCAACAATGAATGCAATTCTGGAGTCAATCATATCCGTAGCATATGCAAACACTTTACACAAAGCAAGTGACAACACTGTATAGGACAACTGATCAGTATTAACAGTGCAATGAGAAATTCTTTCAACTGATTTGACTCATAAAAAATTTAGTGCATTATGAAGTAAACATACAATTTTCTAAAAATTGAAGGCTGCCTTTACTGGCTCTGTGGGTTTATTCTGAAACTGAGCCCCAACAGATCAATAGTTTGGACCCTACTGTCTTGAGTTGAGTATTTCAGGTGTCTCACATCAATTATAAATACATGCTCTAATTATTTTGGGCTTATCCACCAAAGAAACAAAGTTGCCTCAAGTATTAACCTAAGTGTTTTCTAAACACAAAAAAATTTGTTTCAAACTTCCAAGGTCCCAGACTTCAAACAGGACATTCCATAATTCAAAGACAAGCAGAACTGAGCTGCTGTGCTTTGAGGCCCTGAATTGTCAAGAGAACAGCACAATTTTCCCATCCCTTGGAGTGAGGCCAGCAGCGAAATTGGAAAATAATGCATCAGGTCTCCTTGACGTGCACCTGTTTTCAGGCTATCTTGCCAAAACCCGGGTCAAATCGATAGCAGTTTGGTGATGCTGTCGGGATTTTCCTGATTGGATAGGTGTCCTATTATGGTTGAAACCTGTCTGGAGGCAGACTCCTGCTGCAAGGTGAAGGGAGCTGAATGTTCACAATTTGGAGCCATGGGGATCAGGTGGGTCACAGCCACAATTGCCAGCAATTCTGTGGAGGGCCCTAACCTGACAGTTGTCCATTTTTTATATTTTGACTTTGCTGAACTGTTCAGTGTGCTTCCATCTTGCGGTGCTCTCACAGACAACTGCCTGCACCAGTAAGAACCCGTTCCGTCTCTTGCCTTGCCTCACCTCGCCAAAAAATGTTTCACCTTAGAAAGTGCACCACTTCTTTGATTAGATGGTGAGTGTGGACGCAACCACTTAAGATGTTAGACCCCTGATGGGGCCATTGGTGAGCATCCTCAGTGTCTGCACACTAAGCACCTACTAATCCCAAAATGAAGGACTTGAGGCGTGCTTAATAATTTAGCCCAATATATTACTTTTATTCTCATTTCTTACCTCTGCCTTCCTAGAGGATTTTGTTCATCATGGTGCTTTTTGGGCTGCACAGACTCATTTAATTTGGTTTCTATACTAAAATTTATTATAATTTGACCAACCATGATCAAGATTCTCTGCATAATAAGTAAACAGTGTTTCAAAAATAGTTCATTATTATAAGAGACTTTGAGGTTTTGAATTGCACCACATAAATTTATTTCTGTTTGGTCACTAAGTTCTGATAATTGTGCAGCGATATTTTCATTACAAGTTTTATATTTATTATGTGGTTAATGAGGATTGCTTTCTATCTTTATTTGTACAGCTACAGAATGTATAGAAAAAGCCAAACCACTGGGTTTCCGTCATTAATTACAATCTTTTCTGCACCAAACTACTTAGACGTCTACAATAATAAAGGCAAGTTAACTGAATCTTATTTCATTAGCTTGCACCTTCTTTCAAAGAAAAATCTTTATTTTACTTGACATGCTGACAGACTGCTTCAAGTGGCATTTTCCAGGTCGTTGTCATCTGCACTAGTGACAGATTCTTGTTGTAAGGGGACACCATAATCAACTGCGCTTTCAATCTTGCTCTCACATCAGCTGATGTGCTGTATTGCTGGGGCAGTGAATGGTAATCAACATTTGGGGAAACCTGATTTTAATTTTCTTTTCCATGCATCTGAGCCATTGAGGCCAATGATAGTAACTTTGTAGACTTCCGTTGTGCGCATGAGCTAATTTGTCAATTGTTCAGCAAGCATTCAGTCAGTGTGCCTCTGTCTGGTACATTTTACAAACTGGATCCTCAGAGCAAATTCAGCGTTTCTTTTAGGCAGTTTACAAAAGTGCGTTTACTATTTGAAACAACTCTCTAGTGTTTAGCGCATCACTGAGAAACTCTTTTCATTTCAGCTGCTGTATTGAAGTATGAAAATAATGTGATGAATATTCGACAGTTCAACTGTTCTCCTCATCCCTACTGGCTGCCTAACTTCATGGATGTCTTTACGTGGTCGCTGCCATTTGTTGGAGAAAAAGGTATAGCTATTGAACACTCATTTTACTAAAGGTAAATTGAAAATACTAGCAAAGTAAAATTGTAACACATGGCACAGATGAAAGATAAAATCTAAATAAACAAATTTATTTCTGTTGTACAGTAACAGAGATGTTGGTTAATGTCCTCAATATCTGCTCTGATGATGAGCTTATGTCTGAAGGAGATGATGCTTTTGATGGTAAGTGAGCTTTATATTTTAAGTGTATGGGTTAATCCATTGATCAGTAGGTGTCGAAAGTATATAAGAACAAATTCTCAATGTTATTTATCTCAGACACTCTATTTCTGAGTCTTAGGGTTGTTGGAGACTTTAAGTAGTGCCTTGGAAGGTTGATTTGTTGGCATTGGTTTTGGTAAGGCAGCTTCACTAGTTCAGGCCTCCCAATCAAAGATTTCAGGAACCTTTTGTAAAACCTTCATCTCCAGCCTAAACACTGTAGTTCATCCTAAGCCTGGATATAGCAATGATCCTCTTGCAAAGAAAGCAGATATTTCATTGGCACATTAAGGGTTGAATTTAAACTATTAGCTTGAAGCCATGGGATAGATTACAGAGCTATGTATAAGTGGAAAAATGCCATGTAGAAAAATTGTTACAAAATGATTGAGTTTTTTGAAGAGGCAACCAAAAAGACTGAGGGCAAAGTATTATATGTTGTTTACGTGGATTTTAGTAAAGCCTATGACAAAATTCTGCATGGTTGACTAATTGGTAAAGTTAGATCACATAGGATTCAGGGAGATCTTGCCAATTATATACAAAATTGGCTTTATGGCAGGAGACAGGGTGTAGGGTCGATTTTCAGTCTGGAGTCCTGTGACTAGCGGTGTTCCACAGGGATGGATACTGGGGCCACTTTTGTCACTTATGTGAATGATTTGGATGAAAATTTAGGCCACATGGTTACTAAGTTTGTAGATGACACCAAAATTGGTGGTATAGAGAATATCGAAGAAGTTTGTCTAAGATTAGAGAGACTTTTTGATCAGTTAGGTCAGATGGGCTGAGGAGTGGCAGATGGATTTAATTTAGATAAATGAAAGGTATTGCCTTTTGTTAGAGCAAACAAGAGCAGGACTTTTCCAATTAATGATAGGTCCTCAGGCAATATTGTGGAACAGAGAGACCTAGGTGTTCAGATATATCATTCTTTGAAGTTTGGTTGACAGGGTGGTTAGAAACGTGTTTCGCATGCTTGCCTTCACTGTTTAGACTTTTGAGTAAAAGAGTTTGAGAGGTTATATTGAGGTTGTGCAGGATGTTGGTGAAGCCTCATCTGGAGTACGGCATGCGGTTTTGGTTGACCTGCTATAGGAAGGACATTATTAAATTGGAGACGGTTCAGGATGTTGCTGGGAGTAGAGGGCTTGAGATATAAAAATAGACTGGGACATTTTTCATTGGAGCGTAGGAGATAGAGGTGTGACCTTCTTGAGGTTTATAAAATCATGAGGGGCATAGATAGGGTGAATAGCAGTGGACTTTTCCCAAAGGTTGGGGGAGTTCATAACTAGGAGGCATATGTTTAAGGTGAGAGAAATATGATTTAAAAAGGCTGTGAGAGGCCACTTTTTTTTTAACACATCAGTTCATGTGTAAAGTGAATTGCCAGAGGAAGTGGTGGATGGAGATACAGTTACAACATTTAAAAGACATTTGGATAAGTACATGAATTGGAAAAGTTTGGAGGGATATGGGGCCAAACACAGGCAGGTGGGACTAGTTTGGATTGGGAACATGGTCGGCATGGACTACTTGGACTGAAGAGTCGGATTCCATGCTGTGCAACTCTAAACTTCACTACAAGTGTGGTTTATTTTTTAAATAGGTACAGCTGCCGCTCGGAAGGAGATCATTAGGAACAAGATTCGAGCAATTGGCAAAATGGCCAGAGTATTCTCAGTTCTCAGGTGAGAGTTCCTTTTGTTTTCTAGCTGTCCTTAGTGTAAGGATCAAATGTGACTTTCTATTTCAATAATGTCCTGTTAAGGTGTTCGTAAAAAGCTCTCTTTGAGCTAACCTTTGGTCATTAATCACTTGATATCTACTTATGTGGCTTAGTACCTCTAAATCTTCAGTGGTTCAAATTTGCTAATTATTTTGCAAATCCGTAGTTTCATTTGATTTATAAAATAGAAAATGTCTCAATGTTCCTATCTTGGTTTAATGACTAATTAGAGTGTAAGGTATGATATTGAATAGGATGTTCATTAGTCACTGCTTTCCTGATCATTTCTGACTCTACAATAGACTTTATTGCAACCTTGGCTGGGGACGGAGTCTGCAACTGGATCACAGTCTTCTGATTGTGATTCAATTACACTGCAACTCAGAACACCCCTGCTTGCCAGCCTCCTTGGAAACCTCCTACAGTTGAATAGTGTAATTGAATTTGGCAGTTACTTTCAGGTGAAAATTGGTACTTGGATGAAGGTTCACCACAGCATGGGTCCAAATCTTCAACATTTGGTGGGTCAGAGCAATGTTGTCATGGTTATTTAGATGGCAGTTTCTCTTAAAGTAATAGAATGTACTCCATTTATATCAGGTAGAATTTTATTTCGCTTATTTTGCAGAAGTTCTGAATACGTTCTCCATGTTTTACATTTACAGAGAGGAGAGTGAGAGCGTGCTGACGCTGAAGGGATTAACTCCCACTGGAATGTTACCAAGCGGAGTGTTGGCAGGAGGACGACAGACCCTACAAAGTGGTAATGATGCATTGCCTCTTCCTGTGCCTCAGATGGATTGGGGTATATCTCGCTGTTTCACTAGCACTGCACCTAATGCATGCTGGGAGTTTGTGACGCTTTTTACCTCCTGTCTCAGTGGCTGACCTAAGCGCTGTTACATGTAATCAGGCAATATGAATGCACGCTAACCAAGGTTTACATATCAGATATAAAAGCTAAATATTGGTCATGTTTTCTCAAATGTTTTATTTCCTGGCCTTTTACTTTTTGCTTAGATGCTTCTTCAGGTTGGGGATATTGGCATTTTCAAAAAAGGTGATTATTTTAGCAGAGTCGTCTTGTATGTTGTAAATTCAGACATTCAAATAATTGAAATTGTGTAAATCACAGCTCTTGGTCCCATTAATTAAACAGCCAAACTGCATTATCATATTGACTTCAGTTGATCATGACCTAACAAACCAAGCTTTGAGAAAAGAGCACAAACATTTTACAGGGCATGTCCTAAACTATAAGTCTACTTGTTTATGATCGTTGTATGCAAACTCAGTTTTTACTTGAGAAAACCAATAAGTGAGGCATGGTAACCATGGAGTATATCACATATACCCCATGAAATTACACCAAAGTATTTATTCATATTTATGTGTACTGTGTATGCATGTTCTCTCTGCTTGCTTGAATTGTCTTCAGATCTTGTAACATGCCTTTCCTTCCTCCACAGATAAAGCAGTCTTCTGTGGCTGTGTCCGTCAATGTTAGATGTAATTATATGTGTAATTTTCCTGAAGCATCTTTTCAGGAAATATTGTAGAGTCTGTGTGTTAATTCATATTGGGACTTGACATGATTGCTTGTGTAAGAGTGAGTGTTTGAAGTTGCAATTGAACGGGAGGAAACTCATCCAGCATTGGTTTGTGATTAAACTTCCTTTGAGTGTGCATACTTGTTTTATTTCAAAATAAAAATGGCCTTTGGAATTCCAACTACAAACTGGTTTGATTCAAATACTTTGTAACACTGCGAGAAAGGGGCCCAAAATATTTTGCAAGTTCAGCTGGATAATAATTCAGTATTTGTGTGTATGACAGTAGAAGAATGTCTGTGCTGATAAGTTGCTGAACCAAAACTGCCTACCCTAACTCAATTTCCTTGTTCTTGCCCATTATTTTCTCCTTATTAAAATACTGAGATTGAGTTGCACTTTGTCATGTCTTTGCCTCATTAGTTACTTGTAAAATATTCTGTCAGAATAGCCCCCTGCGTGAAACAAATTATTCTGAGTTCTCCTTTTGTCGTATTGATATCTTTTAGACCCCTCATTAATTGATTCATCAAGCAGTTACAACAGTCTATTATCGTTTGTCTCATAATCACCTTTCACTTTTTCAAACTTTTTATAGGTTGCTCTCAATCACTGTTGAGCTGGAAAAGTAAACCGTTTTAAAATCCTTCATCATCATAATCTCTCATTTGGTATCATTCTTTCTGAGCCCTTTAATTCTGATATCCTTCTGTTGAGTTGATCACTATCATAATGTTCTCTTGCTTTTGTATGTAAGGGTATTGGGTTTGATCTAATGAAATGAATTTACTGTTTTATGGCCTTTGCTATCAACAATCTTCCACCTGTTAAAAATGTATGCCTGCTCTGTTACATCTATCAGTTCCTGCAATCTATTCAGGATTTTGCTGGTTATTTATTTTTCACCATTTCCAAAAATGTATCAGTTGTCGTTTCATTGCATGAGTTGCATCTGTCATCTTTTTGTTCGCTGCTACCCCATTTATGGTCTTCACAACAGTTTGCATTGATGCTTAAGTTAGTATACTCAACAAGCCTTTACAGTATTTTGTCTGTACCCCAGGTCCACATCAATATTGTAAATGGATAATGGGGACCCCAGTTGTCACATAACCACGTCTCAGCAATCTGAAAAAAAATCTAATTATCCCAAATTTTGACTTGTGTTCTCTTTCCAATTTACAGCCTTACTGGCTCTAGTAATTTTAAAAAAAGTCTTTTAAGTGACAAGTTATTAAATACCTTTTGAAAATACACATCCATAAGTATGTTGTCTCTGCAACTTGAAATTATTTGATAATTATCAAGCATAGTCTACATTTCAAAAACATCTTGCCATGTGTTCATGCCTAACACTTGCCTTTCTGAGTGTTTACTACCCTCATCCCATATTATGGGCTTTTAAAGTTTATCAACAACTGAGGTAAGATCAGTTGTATTCTTTGATCACTTTCTGGCAGACTACAGACAGTGTTAGATTGCTGTAAGATCGGAGGATTTTGTGGCATCTATGTAAAGTCACTTCTTGACATGTAAGCACCAATATTTCATCCTAGTGCTGCATAACTGAGTGTTCACCCAACTGAAAAGTAGGCTGTTAAAAATTTTAGATTTTAATAAATTCTAATTGAAACATTTTAACTGATATGTAATTTGTACGTGTAATGGAAACTAATGTACCACTGTTACAGTACTGAAGCCTGAGAGACCACGCTGGTACACCTTTGAAAATGCGCGTTCCCAGATTCTCCAGTTGTTTCATTAGTTTTAATAGTGTGGTGATCATTCAGCTATGCAGGTCAACTTTTTTTCATAAATCTGCATCCTATTTAAATCAGTCTATCTGTTCTCTTATATAATTGGCAAACTTTGGTTTGTGTGGGTCAAATTAGTTTCTTTAGTGTTTGGAAAGGAAGAAAATTTTGCAATAAAAATCAAGTGTTGAAAAATCTCAGGTCTGGCAGCATCTGTGGAGAGAGCAAGAGCATTAATGTTTCACATCCACTATTAACCTTTAGCTCAGAATAGGTCATATTGACTCAAACGTTGACTCTGTTTCTCTCTGCACTTGTAGTGCCCAACTTGCTGAAAGTCTGCAGTATTTCGATTTTATTTCATATCTCTAGCATCTGCTGTATTTTACTTCTAAAGAAATTCTGTCAGTGTTCCATTTTAGGACCTATCTGAACCTCCTTAGTAATAAGCCCGTATGCTTCAGTATATTCTGCAATTCAGAACATCAGTTTCTGCAGAAAACAAGTAATGCACATGGAATTGATCTAGGCTTAGAGTATGGTTAAGTAGTGCTATGAAAATTTCAAATCCAGAGCCCTAGGCTAATGCTCTGGGAACACTGGTTCAGATTGCATCTCGGCAGCTAGTCAAGTTTAGATTCAATTAATGAAATGTAGAATTGTAAGCTCATCTCCAGAAGAGTAACCAAGAAACTATCTTGTCATAACCCATCTGGTTAATTCATACCCTTTAGGGAAGGAAATTTGCTGTTCATGCCTAGACTGGCCTACAATGACTCCAGGCCCGCAGCACTCTTAATTGTTCTCTGAAGTAGCTGCGCAACACATTGTTCAATCATGATTAAGGATTGGTCATCATATGTTATGCAATAATCCCATGAAAGAATTGTTAAAAATTATACAGTATCTATTAGCACCTCCTGGTTACACTAAGATCTCACAACATGCTCCTTGAAATTTTAAATGAGATGTAACAAGTTCAAAATTGATCTTCGCTAATAATGTAAATAAAACATTCATAGTAAACAGCGTGGTATTCACCAAGCCCAGTTTACTTTTCAATTGAAGTTAATGATCAAGAAAATTGAACAAGGTGTAAAACAGACTACCAATTTGCACCAAACTCATTCTGCACTTTTAGTAGAGATCAGTTTCATTCTCCATGGCATCGGCAAGAGCTTCAATCATTTTGAGAATGAAGAAGGAAATCACTTGGTAGAATGAGGGCATTTTGGAGCTATTTTATTTTACATGCATCAAGTCAACAGTAAAAAATGTTTAATTTAGTCGGTTCAATTTGTCTTGTAGTAGTACAAAATAATTAAAATGTTACATTTCCTCAGTGGGTTTTTTACTTTGGCAAATGAAATGATCATTAACTTTATTCGAATCCCTCAGCCTTTGCTGAAAATCTTTGCTCCCAGCTCTCTTTAAAAAGAGCAATCTGACTGATAGCCCATGTATCTGTCTTTCAACCTGTCTTTGTTTGCAACCTGGTGGGCACATGGAGCCCAGGCACCTTTCCACGTGATTAACGTGACATGCTTACCAGTTGCAAAGGTTAGTGTGTTGCATATTTATATGTTTGGGAGCTAAGGGCAGGAAGCAACATCAAAGTTTAATTCATAATGGAAGATTTTTTTGACAAGTTTTGTTGGGCGGGTGCAGGAACAGAGATTTGAAGGTCACGTACAGATCTATGGCGATAACGGGATAAAGAGGCAAATCTCTTTTTGACGACAAGAATGTGTCACATCTTTTAATGTAATAAAACTTCCTAAGGAGCTTCATAGGAAAGTTATAAAATAGAACAGTAACAGTAGTATTGAAGCAGTTGGATTGTGAATAAATTCACCACTAATTCATGCTTGGGAGTCCAGTTTGATACCAGCGATGTTGATTGACATCTGAAGTGGACTAGTAAGAAATTTGAGGTTATGTAGGGTTGAGCATTTATTGGTAGTCTCGCCAGTAATACCCTTGTCCTGAAATTGAAATTGGAAAATAAAATATAAACCCATTTTGCATACACAGCCTTGATAAAGACCCAAATGTTTAAGCTGCTTTTAAAGATTTCAGGCAGACTTGTGTCTAATGTTTGCTGTACCACATACTTGCGACTGTTTCCCAGAAATGAATGAAGGGCATTGCTGTTTCCAGTTACACGAGGATTAACTGGACTGTATTGAAGGGTTAACCAAATTTTACAAGACATGATGCAACCCAGATATCTGATATATAATGCATGTTCCCATTCATTTTATTTAAAGTTTGAAATCACTAATTTAGGCATTTGGGATCATAATTGTACTATGTAGAAGCATGCAAAAAGCTGATTGTGTTTTTTTAGTTCCAGATTTTTACAGTTAAGAAGCAGACCTTAATGTTTTCTGAAATATTTTGCACTGTGCTTTGATTTATTTAGGCACAGATTGGGCAATGCACCATCACCTTGATGA